CTTTTTCCTTATGTCTCTTAAGAGGCAGGGGGCATGAAAATGGGTTACAGAAAGTGAAACCCTGACCCAGGAATAGGCACAAAATGCAGGGAGAAAGGACTGTGGGAGGGAAAAAAAAGTTTTCACTAGTATATGATGTACTCAATAACACATCTCTACTCAACAACAACCTTCCCCTGACTCTTATTTCATGTTCCTGAACTCCTGATGAAATCTCACTATAGTGATTTAAAAAATACATATGACAATATGTGTGCGCAATGCAAACAAAGGTAATTTGCTCTGCACACAAGATAAAATACCACTTTTTAAAATCTGACAGCTACACTGAATACAAACTAACCAGTTTATGAACATACTGAGAAATGTCAGCCATATCTTGAGCACAGCATTGAAGACAGGGAATGGAGGCTAGCAGGACAACAAGGAAGATAATAAGGGGACATACATACCAACTGTGAAGGCAGCAGTGATCACAGATCTGCCAAGGGAGAACCCACTGTTCTGAGGAGCTGCAATTCATTTCCACATGTTTTGTTTGAGTAGTGGGAAGAGAAATATCTCCAAAGTAACACCATCTTGTAGGAATTCTCAATGTCCAAACTGGATGTCCAAATTGTTCTTTCTTGATTTCCTTACAGAAGGGGCTTTACCAAGTGTTCAACTGAGTCAATGGGAATCTCTTCATTTCCTTCAAGTGGAGGACAATGGGCATAAGGGGATTTACTTCCCTCTCTTTCACAAAAGGATGGAGGATGAGATCTTTCCAATTTCAAGAGGATGCTCCCATTTACTGTAATATGCTCAAATGCCATGGTGATAACAGTGTAAATAACTGAATACAACAGAACACAGTAATTGAAAAGGTCAGGTTTGACTAAGTGGTGCTGAAGTTGCAGGTTTTTGAGATCTGAGGACAGATCACAGAATCATAAAAAAAATAGGGTTGGAAGGGACCTCAGGAGGTCATCTAGTCCAACCTCCTGCTCAAAGCAGGACCATCCCCAACTAGATCATCCCAGCCAAAACTTTGTCTAGCCAGGTCTTAAAAATCTCCAAGGATGGAGATTCCACCACCTCTCTGGGTAACTTGTTCCAGTGTTTTACTACCCTGCTAGTGAGAAAGTTTTCCATATAATACCCAACCTAAACTTCCCTTGCTACAACTTGAGTCCATTGCTCCTTATTCTGTCATCTGCCAGCACTGAGAACAGTCTAACTCCATCCTCTTTGGAACCACCCTTCAGTAGTTGAAGGCTGCTATTAAATCCTCCCTCAGTCTTCTCTTCTCCAGACTAAAAAGCCCAGTTCCCTCAGCCTCTCCTCATAAATCATGTGCCCCAGGCCCCTCACCATTTTCATTGCCTTCTGCTGAACTCTCTCCAATTTTTCCACATCCTTTCTGTAGTGGGGGGCCTAAAACTGAATGCAGTACTCCAGATGTGACCATTCCCAAACAGAGGGGAATAATCACTTCCCTTGATCTGCTGGCAACATTCATACTAATGCAGCCCAGTATACCATTAGCCTTCTCTGCAACAAGGGCATACTGTTGGCTTTTATTACCACCTCTCCAAAGGGGTGCAACTCCCAGTCCTTTTCTGCAGAGCTGCTACTTATCTAGTTGGTCCCCAGCCCATAGCAATGCATGGGATTGTTCCATCTTAAGTGCAGGATTTTGCACTTATCTTTCTTGAACCTCATGAGATTTCTTTTGGTCCAGTCCTCCAATTTGCCAATGCCTCTCTGCATCCTAGCCCTACCCTCCAGCACATCTACTACTCCCTCCAAGTGGTATTAGAGCAAAGGAGGCATGGTGAGATGCATGGTGGATGAGCCTATGTCTCCAGCAAGTCTGAAACTAAGATCTTGGAGTCAGATTGGCACCCTCATTTTTGGGCATTTTTTGTTCTAAGGTTTTGTTTTGGGTCAGGCTGCAGATAGGTGATATTAAAAAAAATCCATCTGCCATTGTGCCAAACCTACTTAAATTTCCTTCACTATGCTTAGTTAATCTAATTCTTTTCATCTTGGAGTTTTCGATAATATTCATCCCCATACCATTTAAATGCTAGCTTTTGCGGCTGTGAAGGAATGGGGGAGGAACACATAACAGCATTAGACTGTGCATACAAAATGAGAAACGCCAAAGTGCTAGAGTTGCTTAGTTTAGAAGATAAATCCCTCCAGCCAGGATGTGATGAATGAAGTTTTTTCTATGATTCTAAGTGTCAACATAAGATCCTGCTTTAAGAAAAAAAAAAAAAGGAGGTTGCATGGGAACTGAATGCCTTCAAATATTTTTATTCTCTTGTGTAGGTCTCAGAGGTTGTGGCTTCTGTTCTTCAAATGTGGTTGCTCTGCAGCAGGGACAGGAATGCAGGGTTCATTCCAGCCTCCTCTTCCTCCTCTTTACAGTTTTCACTCTCAACTGCTCTCCCCAATGGGGAGGATCTTGTGGTTTGAAGATTTTAATTTCCCCCATGCCTCTACCCACACACACATACCCCTCTGCAATTCTCAGATGACTGTACAGTGGAGAGGAGGGACAGGAAAGACAGCCTCTCTGGAAGAATAAGATGGAAAACTTTTGAAACACCTCAGTTTAGCTCTATTCTTAGCCTTCTTCCACCTGGGCCATCTCTGCTGCTGAGATGAGGAGAGGAGCCCCACCCTCAAGCAGATCTCTAAGCAATCACTGGCTAAACAATCTGGAAATAATCCAGCTTGATGAAGCCAACTTTTCAAATGCAGGGAAAGTGTAAAGGGACCAGCCCAGAAATTAATGCTGAATCAAAATTACATAAAAAGGGAAGTCACTGACAGTGCTAGGCTGAATTTTGCTAAGGATGCCCCATTAGGGCTCTTTTGAGGTATGTTGACAAGGCCAACAAGGGGCTATTAGACTGAAAGACACAAAATGGCAGGGTTAGATAAACTTTCTTTTAGGAGAGCCAGAACTGGTTTTGTGCACTTTACACATCTCAGAACCATCTGGCTTCATTTCTCGTATCACAGAAGTTAGTGTAATTCATTTGCAGGTGACTGAGAAGCTCAGCCCCCAGTTTTGCCAGGTTTTTTGATGACTGTGCAGAAAAAGCCAAGATTGACAAAGTTAAGACTGTGCTCCAGCCACTGATAGAACCATCCCTGTGGTATATACAGCAACAGCAAACACAATGCACAAAGCCATGATGACAAGAGATACCAACGTATTATAGTCAGCTTGACCCTTCCTTCCAAAAGATACAGAACATAGGAAGGTACACTGCCCCTCCTCCAGCAGGCACTGATGAGCACAGGAGCCCAAACTTGTTTCTAAGCTCAGCTTAACCTTCTAAATAAAAACTAAAAGTGTGCTTCCATGATATTGTGCCTACTTTTACTATCCTTTCTATATCCAGACTATTACTATGGTATATCAAATCTATTTGTTTCTCCCATCCTTACCCCTCTGTTCAACTCCAAACACTTTACTTGCCCTACTTGTACTTCCTCTATTCTACCAGAAAGCAAGAACTCACTTGGGGGCTCATCTGGGATTTGAACCCGAGACTACTCAGATTCAGTTTAAGAATCATACACGTAAACCAGGGATTTTCAAGCAGAGTGCCATGTTAGCACTGTTAGGTGTGCAAACATGATTCACAAGACAAGCCCACAGATTTTAAATAGGAATCCATGGTACTAAAAATATTCTGACCTGTTGTGGTCTTTCTGAGTTCTTTGCTACAGAAAACTGCTCTATAATTTCTCCATAATCAAAAAGCAGCTGAAAACTAAGATCTGGCATTTTCCAAGGGGTACCTGGAGCTTACCAAGGTTGAGAACCACTGCCGTAGAGCACTGAGCCTGACAGAGGGAAGATAGAGAAGGCATCTTTCATACAGACCAAATAATATTCTTGTTTATTTAAAGTAGGCTCGCATCACACTCACAAGTTAGTTATCTGCTCTCAGTAACCAAGAGGACTGGTTAAAAGCCACCTCACCATGTCTTCAAAGGAGGAAAAGACTTTCTTATTCATCAAGTATACATTTCAATGAGTCTTTCATACCATGAATCTCATATTTCAATTTGAGCTGTAAGAACAAGCCACTGAACCATAGGACAGAATTGCTACTTATTCCTTCCAAGCAGTTCTCCCTGCCTTAAGGGTTGCAATTATTGAAATGCATCAAACATGCTCTCTCACAAGCAGGGAGGGGGGGCATAAACACTTATGAAAATAATCCTCATAGCAATGCTGATGTACTGACACAGTGTGCTAGAGGAGGACTTGCACAGGTAGATATTAGGAGGAGCAGCCCTCCTGCTTCTGGAAGCATTCACAGCTAGTACACTTATGAAGGTACAAGGCATCTTCAGTCCAGCAGAGCCTCTGAGAGAATGGCAGTGTATACAGCACTAGATCCTGACAACACGGTCTGGGAGAATAGAAAACATCCATATTGGAGCAGTACTGAGCTCTAACCAGCACAAAAGCCCTCATGGAACATGCACTCAAGGTCCCCACAGTAACCTTAACAACACCTGCACAGGCACTGCAAGAAGGTCTTTCATTACTCAATTAAGGAACACTGCACATGTATGTGCAGTAAAAAATAACTATAAATAGGGTTACAGAAACAGGAGCAGACTAAAGAAGAAAGTGTCTTATTAACATAGTTACCTAGTATTATGTGATCATGAAAGTAAATAAGCAAGAGATATGAATGAGGCCTACTACCTAATTTCTTAAATACTAGTGCATGTTTGGCTCCACACAACCCTCATTCTCTTCCTACTCCCAGAAAGAAATTCCTAGTATGGCCAAAGAGAGAAGAGAAAAATCCACCTGCAAATTTAAGTGAATCCTCACAGCAAAAGCTTGGAAGAAGCAACAAAAATCAGGCTGATTGCTGAATTAAAACACCAGCAGCACTACAATCTGTGAAGTCAGAGAAGCAGCACCTGCAGTACCACAGACATCTGTGGGCAATTTAAGGGGGGGCCAAGGCCACACCTCCCCATCAAAGCCCTCAGGAACTCCAGCAAAGACAGAGGAAAAGCATTCCCACCATACTACTACAACAGACCTGCAGTGAGCTGCAAAGGTGGGTGCACAGGAAGAAAAGGAGTGCCTTAATCACAGTCACCTAACTTCTAATCTTTGTTGCAGAGATGCTGGCAAGACTTGGCTCACCATGCTTTTTTTTTCCTCCTTTTGCTGGAAAGGGGAGCAAGGAAGCAAAATTGAAATTTGACAACCTTCTTTGAATCCTGACAGCCTTACAAAGGCATTCACCAAGGTACCAGGGAAGGGAGAATAAGCCAAAACTCCTCTTTGAGGGAAAGGAGGAAAGGGATGGAAAGAAATAAGCCACTGAAAACAGGATTTTGAAAAAGAAGTGCTATCTCAGCCTGAACTCTCTTTTTGCAGGAACACCTCCAGGAAATGATAATGATAAATGCTACGTTCACAACCTTAACAGTGTCCTGGTGTATGCTTTTTCATTGTGGTGGTCTACATAACCATATGCTGTTTCTCAAGTACAATACTATAATTATCCACATGTACTAGAACAGTGGTTACCAACCAGTAGATCTTGATCCACAGGTAAATCTCTGAGCCTCTTGGTGCCTATCTGAGAGCTGGGATGGGGAGCTGAGTGCCTGCTGCTTGCAGCTCAACCCAGCAGGTCAGTCTGTGGAGACGGGGAGGGGGCTAGATCAAGGCCTCATGGTGAAGGACAGTGCCACAGAGGCAGGAACAGGGGTAAGTTGAGTGGGGCCCTGGCTGGGGAGGTGCACCCCCAAATAATTTTTTTCTCACTCTGCCTTGATCAGCCCACTTCCCACCCCACAGCCTTAACTGCTAGGTAGTGCGGGGGCAGCACAGGGTAGGTCTTGGGTTGCTTTTAAATGCCAAATGTGATCTCCTACTGAAAGGTGGGAGAGCACCGTACTAAAGTTAGTTTATTTAAAGTTTTTCATGCTTGCATTATTTGAATTGTCATTACAACCCAGTTCAATTCTTGTCCCTTGAGGCAAAACTTTGGATTAAGCCAGTGGTTTTCAAACTTCATGAAGTCATGGCACCCATTCATATGACTTCTGCTGCAGAAACCACACTCCTGGCTTCACAGGCCATGTGAGATGACATGGATCCAAGCCACCTGGCCTAGCAATGGCAGCACCCTGCCATTATCCTTTGGCTTTCTGCAAAACCCCTGACCTATCACAGAACTCCAAAGTTTGGAAAAACACAGTCTACAGGCCAATGGCCTTGAGCAACAGATACCTACAGGTGTACTCCTAACTATACTAAGATTATGGAGAAACAAGCTCAGGATAAGGAAGACAGCTGCTATTTGACTCTTTTCTTGCATGATCAGGTACATAAGTTCACTGATAATAATAATTAAGAGGGCTGAGTATCCTGCACTACAGGTTCCTATATATCCCTACTATTGCTTGTAATACAAAGAGGAAAAATGCCATCACTTCAATCTGAGAAACAAAGACCCTATAATTACTGACTCTACAGGCACAGTACAGGGGGCACAAAGGGGCAGGCTTCAATTTGCAACAGAACACTTGCAGGCCCTTTACCTCAGAGAGTGCTATTTCCCTGCCCTGACTAAGACTCACTTTTAACTGCCAGCTATTCTCAAGCATTTCAAGAAAGCAAGCAATTTTTTATAATGGGTAGTTATTTTTTACTTTCCACTTACCCCAAATCAGCAGAACCATTCTTGGTCAAAGTTTCTTAAACAAAAGGAAACAAAGGACGAGCTATAGTTGAGCGGAGAACGTGCCTCATAAATTTTTACCCACGGAGAACAACTTCAGAAAGATATTAGCAACTGTAAAATTGGGTGGTAGAGATGAAAGCGAAGGCATGCAGTTAACGATGGCCATGGTGGCCACGCCCACTATCACAAAGCAGAGTCCACATAAAAGTATTCTGGCAGGAGTAGATTAAAAATGGAAGGGCCTGGTGTGGATAGTGCAGCAAGAAAAACATATCTAGCTAATTCAACTTTGAATAGGAAGACACGACCTGCTTAGGAAGAATTTATGCCAACAAGAAATGACATCCAAAAATTATCCACAGATCTAGAAGAAAGTCCATGTTTCCTGCTTGTCATATTCCTGTCAGTGTAGATTCTGAGGCACAAGCCTTTCACTGATTCCTTTCCCCCCTGAAGTTTTTCATCCCATAACTGACAAGTCCCTTAGCTGTGAAAGCAGATGAGAACAATTCCACCCTTTCAAGCATCCTAGCTGCTGTCTCTTTAAAAGAAACTTCCTAGAACTCCTGTACTCCTCCAACCAACTCAGGATGTACTTGTTCAAGATCATTACCAGAAACACTGAGCCCATTAGCTCTAATGAACTGCTACTTAGGTGGCAAGCTGAAAAGCTAAATGAGCTGATTTCCCAGAGAAAAAGAAAGGTGCAGTCAGACTTCCCAACAGGAAGGGTACCCATTCTAAAGGAAGTGTGGAATCTCCCTGCATGAGAAAAGACATCTATAGAAAAGACTACTTAATTCTAAACCACAGCAGAATCACTCGCTACCTTAACATAAAAAGGATCGTATAATCAAATGTGGCCCTGCAAGTGTACAACACAAAATAGCGTTTTTAAACCCTGTATTATTTTGCGTGAGCTGTGTCTGAGGAGAGGGCTGAGAAGCATGGGTTATCAGAAACCAAGAAAATTATCAGAATTTTCTTTATAATTAATATAACATTTTTGCTCCAGCTCAAAAACAGCAGAATTGTTCTTCTTCTGCATTCCTTCCCAGAAGAATTTACTTCTAAACCGAGACCAAACATGAAAAATTTCAGCTGACATATATTATGATGTTAAAAGGCCACTAATTATTGACATTCTTGCCTTCTCAGCATCAACACTGGTATCACAAAATTCAGACACTATTGAAAACTTAGAGGGATTCAAGGAAATCTGTTATTATCTTATTCACATCCCACGGGGAATCACAGGCAGCTGTAAAGATATGAACACAAGCAGCTATAGGCCAAGAATCATGCACGTAAATTGGACTTGTCACAAAGAGCAGCAGGGAGTTAAGGGTTTGCATCTTCAGCTTTCAGTGGGAGATGTATACAACCTCAGTGAACACTCCAGATGTTGTCAAACACCCCTTTGTTGCCATCTAAACCCACAAGTGCACAGCTAAATAAGACTATGACATGAATATTCATACAAGCATTGACAAGGAATTGACTGCAATGAATCAAGTATCTAAGTAGGTCAATCTTTCTGAGTAGTTTTGAGGGGGGGAGGGTTATACCTGTGCCCACTTTCATCCATTTTTGATGCAATAACAGATGCATCTTGATCAGCCCCGCTTCTCTTGTCTCCTAGTTGTACACTTTTCTCAGCTTTTCCAATTTAAATTCTTATTTCTGATCATTTCAGCAAGGACTTCTCTTCAAGCTCTTACATATTCTACTCTCCCTGGAGGAGAAAATCTCTCATGTCACACTGGTTGCACAACTGATCCCTTATGGAAATCCACTGTGCCCCTAAATTTCTAGTTCTAGTTTGTGAGCAATGTTTCTATATTGATAAGAGCCTGCTCAAGTTGTGTGCATTCTGGTGTATTTTGGGTTGCTGCTAAGCAGAAACTTTTGTGTGGGGCACCAGAGTAATCCAGTTGTTATGACTTTTAATTGGTTCTTTCAAGCTGACAACCCTCTTGTGTTAGCGCAGTGTCATGAGTGGTACTTGAATTTTGATGGAGTAGCTTACTCCTTTGCTTCTAGAAATCAGTACCATTGAGGCCTAGCAGAGATGCTCTGTAGAAATAGGGCATGTACTGTCAAGTTGTTGCTTTAGGTTTTTTCATACTTTGACACAAAGAAAGTATATGTTGTAATGGTGCCAAAATATGGACCGTTCATGTTTATTTTTTTTAATGCAGTTTAAAGAGGAGCTCTTATCCTAATTAGTTGTCTTCTGAGGCTTTTGGCACCTGAGTTCAGGGGCCCCCATGGTATTTACTCAGCTCCGGAGGCATGGGGCAAATTTCTCTAGGGGTTTCTCCACTGTTTGGTGCACTCTGCTGTTATAAATGTACTACCGCTCCTTTATGCATGAGAGTACCTAATAGTTTTAGCATTCAATGCAATTTTTGTGGGATAGAAAACCAACCCATACACCAATTAATAACATATCCCAAGAATAAATTTTCCATTTTGAAAACCTTCCAGCATTGCCCAAGGGATGATCCCCTGCTCTCATTCAGACAACAGCTAACCTCCACAGAAGTGCAGCCACCTTCCCATCACATACTCTCCAGAAAAAGCCAATATCAGAAAACCAAGAGATTAAGTCTTTATCTTTACAAAAGCTGCATGCAGAGGAGCTGGAAGCCACATCCTGCCATTTCATTATCTCCAAGCCACGAGGATTTCAAAACACTTACTGCTTGACCCTGACCACATACACCCTTACATTTCTCCCTGCCACCCAGAGGAAGTGCTACGCACCTTTCCTGACATGCCAGAAAGCATCAGATGAACTAAATCTGGCTTCACAAAAGCTTGTGCTATATATATGTATGTGGGTGTGTACACAAACACACACAGACACACATACATCTCTGATTTAGTTAATCCATAAAAGTGTGCCTCTACGTTGCCTTCTGCCTAACTTCAGACTACCACAGCCACCCAACTCTCAATACCAGCCAATTACAGGCAGTGGCCTCTTTCAGTGGGATGTAGTTCACCATGTTAGTCTAAAGTCAAGCAGAAGGCAGGGTAGATTTGTACCTTATAGACTAATGACAGCAGAGAGGGACAGACAGACAGATATAGCACAAGTTGTTGTGAGCTGTAGCTCATTTCATCAGATGCTGTGCTGAAGTGAGCTACAGGTCCCAAAAGCTTGTGCCACACAGATACACACGTGTGTGTATATATGTGTGTGTGAGTGTACACACATATAGGCATATATAGGCATTTGTATATATGTGTATATACACACACATATCTAATATATATTATAGCTACATATATGTGTATATATATATACATGTACATCTCATATATAGTAGTTACACACACATATCTCCAATATGTATACATATACACACATATATGTATATATACAGATGCATATAAAATAGATATTACAGCTATATATGTGTGTATGTATATATATTATAACTATAAAGTGTGTATATACATACACACTTTATAGTTATATGTGTGTGCTTATGTATATATATTGTAGCTACATATATGTGTGCACATGTGTATATACATGTGTACACACATAACTATAATATATATTACAGCTATATATATGCATACACATATTGTAGCTATATATGTGTGTATGTACATATATATACACATACACACATATATTTAATATATATTATAGCTATATATATGCATACAGACATATATTGTAACTACGTGTGTATATATGTATCTAAATGCAC